CTACCTCTCTCCTCTCTCGTCTCTCTCGTCTCATCTCTCTCTCTCGCTTCATCTCTCTTCTCTCTGTCTCGCCTCTCTCTCTCTCTTCTCTCGCGCTCTCTCTCTCTCTCTTCATCTCTGCTCTCGCTCATCTCTCTCTCTTCTCTCTCTCTCTCTCTCTCTCTCTCGCTCCTCTCTCTCTCTCTCTCTCTCTGCTCTCTCTCTCTCTTCTCTCTCTCCTCTCTCTCATCTCTCTCTCTCTTCGATCTGCTCTTGCTCTCTCTCTCTCTCTCCTCTCTCTCTCTCTCTCGCTCTTCTCTCTCTTCTCTCTCTCTCTCTCTCGCTCTGTCTCTCTCTCTTCTTCTCTCTCTCTCTCTTCTCTCTCTCTCTCTCTCTCTCTCGTCTCTCTCTCTCTCTCTCTCTCTCTCTCTCTCTCTCTACTCGCTCTCCTCCTCTCGCTCTCTCTCTCTCTCTCGTCCGCTCTCTGCTCTCTGGTCTGCTCGCTCGCTCTCCGTCTGCTCTCTCTATCTCTCGTCTCTCTCTCTCTCCTCTCTCTCTCTCTCTCTCTCTCTTCTCGTCTCCTCTCTCCTCTCTCTCTTCTCTTCTCTCTCTTCTCCTCTCGCTCTTCTCTCTCTCTCTCTCTCTCTCTCTCTCTCTCTCTCTACTCTCTCTCTCTCTCTCGTCTCTCTGCTCTCTCTCTCTCTCTCTCTCTTCTCTCTCATCTCTCTCTCTCTCTTCGCTCTCTCTCTCTCTCTCATCGCTCTCTCTCTCTCTCTCTCTCGTCTCGCTCTCATCTCTCTCTCTCGTCTCTCTCGTCTCTCTCTCTCTCGCTCTCTCTCTCTCTCTCTCGTCTCTCTCTCTCTCTCCTCTCTCTCTCTCTCTCCTCTCTCTCTGCTCTCTCTCTTCTCTCTCGTCCTCTCTCATCTCTCCTCGTCTGTCTATCTCTCTCGTTTCTGGTCTCTCTCGCCTCTCCTCTCGTGCTTCGTCTCTTGCTCGTCTCCTCATCGTCTCTCTTCCGGCTCTTTTCAGTCTCTCTGCGTCCGTCGTCTCGTCATTTTCTTTTCTCCTCTCTGCTCTCTCTTTGTCTCTGCGCTCGTCTTCTCTCTACTTTGGCTCTCTCTTTCTCTCCTGCTCTGCTTCTCGTCTCTCTCTCTCTTCCTCTCTGCCCTCTTCTGCTCATCTCTCCCGTCTCTCGCTCTCTCTCTCTTCTCTCTTCTTCTCTCTCTCTCTCTCTCTCTCATCGTCTCTCTACTCTCTTCTCTCTCTCTCTCTCTCGCATGCTCTCTCTCCTCTCTTCTTTCTCGCTCTCTTCTCTCTCATCTCTCTCTCTCGATCTCTCGCTCTCTCTCTCTCTCTCTCTTCTGCTCTGCTCGCTCGCTCTCTCTTCTCTGACTGGCTCTCTGCTTCTCTCTCTCTCTCTACGCATCCTCTCTCTCGATCGCTCTCTCTCTCTCGTCGCTGCGTTCTCTCTCTTCTCTGCATCTCTCTCTCTCTCTCTCTCCTCTCGTACTCGTCGTCTCTCTCTCTCTCTCGCTCTCTCTCTCGCCTCTCCTCTCTCTGGTCGCATCTCGCTCTCTCTCCTCTCTCTCTCTCTCTCTCGTCTCTCTCTCTGCTCTCTCTGCTCTCTCTCAGCCGCAGCCTTACGTCGGCTGGCAGCCGTGGGTGGTGTGCGGCACGCCCTCCCTCACCCCCGACATACACCCCGCGCGCTCGCTCCGTCTAGCTGCCGACGCTGCCGCAGACGCACCGCCCCGGCCCCGCGTCAAACGCAAACAAGAGTAACCGTAAACCGTCATTACACGAACGCTCGGCGCGCGACAACGGAGCCGGCGAGGCGGAAAATGGTACACTAATAGTTAGGTACGGAGGGCCGGCCGGACGCCGCCGCCGCGCGCACATCCCCACCATTGATCAGCACATGCTAATGCTGCGTCTTCATCAACTCACGGCTTGACAAATAACCTTGCCTTTATCTGGCACATAATAAGGCAAACTTTGACAATCAGCGTCGGCTGAATGGCCGCTTGTCACCTAATCCAATCTGCGAGATTAATGCCGGATCGTATCATATTAAACTCATTGTCGTGTTTTATTGGCCAGCTTGATTAAATAGCATAGAAAATGCGATAGCGCAGTGTGGATAAATATGTAAACGGATTCCCTCGGCTCGCAGGCAATCCGATGCAACGCATAAAGACGAAAACAGCGACGACGACAAAGGCGACGTCGCCCAATCAGACGTCGGCGCGCAACAATGGCCGTTTGATAAAGGCGACGCATTATGCCGGCCATTGTTCACGTGTTGGCCGAGAAAATTGAAATCAATTTTCGACTTTTCCAGCGCGATTGATGATGTGGCGTGTGTGAGCAGCGCGGTCGATCGGGCTTGCTCGCCGCAGTGCGAGCTCGCACCGCCGCCAGTGAAAAGACTTGATTATTCGTTAGGAATAAATTAGGAAGTGGCTTCGAATAAGCGGCCGCCGCAACATAAGCCCGCGCGAAAATGTTTCGCTTTCCTCCAACGACTCCGGGTTAGTAGCGGGCCTGCCTCAGGTTAACAGGGGAGGCGACTTCAGATTCGAATACGTGTTAGCTGCAAGGCGAATTTAGGTTAGAATACGTGTTAGCTGCAAGGCGAATTTAGGTTAGAATACGTGTTAGCTGCAATGCTACTTAAGGTTAGAATACGTGTTAGCTGCAAGGTGACTTCAGGTTAAAATACGTGTTAGCAACAAGGTGACTTTAGGTTAGAATACGTGTTAGCAACAAGGTGACTTCAGGTTAGAATACGGGATAGCACCAAGGCAATGTTAGGTTATTCTCTGGGTTAACATCGATGGGACTTGATATAACTTTAGGTTAGACTCAAAAGCAGCTAGACAGGGCAACTTCTAAGTTATCTACATTACTTGAACAAATAACAAATAACTAATGTTTTTATGCTAGAAACTATTTCACGCTTGTGTCGGCCAACTGTAAGATTGCACTACATGTCAATCTATACGAAAATGCTGTTCACAAAATGGCAAATATTTGCTGCACATTGATGGCTTATTAAGAACATTTGGTGAATTTGACTGCAACCATGCTCGCAGTAAATCTATCGAACATATATCGTTGGGAGGTTGTACCGGTTTAGCTAGTCGTGTGAAGGGCCGGTTTGTCTCATTTTGTGTTGTTAAATCAGTATACAGTGAACAAACCCTCTGCTGAAACTTGAGACGTTGTTTAATGTGGAGTGAGTAAAACCAAATCTGATTGTTTTGATGTAGGTATTCTGTTATCCCAAATAAAATATTCAACCATACACTTTTTTATTTATTAGCATTTTTATTCATTTGTGGAGTCAAGTCAAAAGGGTAAAATATTATATGTACGTTTCTTATGTAGGTAGATGTGTACAGGGATAGAGGTCTGTCACCTACCTGCACTTCTGTGTGTGCGTGATCTCAGCCATGCTGTTAATTGACCTGTAATAGATATCAGTCTTTAATATCATGGTTATCATATGGATTACCAGTCTCGCTGTTTGTATATTATAATCTATTATTATTATTATTATTATCACCATCATTATCATCATCATCATCATCATCATCATCATCACCATCATCATCATCACCATCATCATCGTCATCATCATCATCACCATCATCATCATCATCATCATCATCATCATCATCACCATCATCATCATCATTAGCAGCAGCAGCAGCAGCAGCAGCAGCAGTACTACCGTCAGCACCATTAAACCACTACTGACCAATATCACGTTTGCAGTCTGCAATTAAATATGTAATAAGCATTACCCATGTTATCCTTCCAATACGTAAGATTCATTGCATTTTTATGCTCATTTCTCGTAATATACTAACTTATATAAAAAAAAAAGAATCACGTCTTCAGCATTACAGCTGATTTGCTGTGAACTCCACGGTGCACAATGAATAGAGAACATAACTTAGTATAACTATAAGTGAATTCGTATTTTTCGGCTGCTAGAAAATGTGGCAGCCGTGGCATAAATTATTAAATCGAAACATGCAGAATACTGTCCCTTAGGAATAACTGTCTCTTATTCATTGATCTAGTTTCGAACACTTGGGGGAAACATTACTTTAAAACACTTGGCTATGCGGGATCGAAATTGAACCTGAGTTTAAAAATATATTTTATTCTACTTATATATATATACATGTTGTTTTACTACAACTAGTTCAGTCTTTCCACATCACTCCACTTAATACCTTATATCTTAATATCTCTCTAATATTTTACATCTCATTCTCTCACTTATCTGCAAGTAGTCCGAGTAGTTTTGCAAATAAAAAATAAATTATAATAATAAATTATACTATACATAGTAAATTAGATATAATGGTAACTGTAAATGATGTGGGAACTGTATGTGAGTTTGGGTCGGATTCTTATGCATATTCACCTTAAGCATTGTTCCACTGTGACTAGATGAGCTTCATCCATGAGATCAATCTTGTTAAGCAGAAGAAGGTCAGCCATTGCAATCTGCCTGAAAACATTCCACCCCATAGACAAGCCGACAGTTAAACCCACGAAAAAGATAAATAGTAACGTTTACAGGCAAATTATTAAGTGTGTGCCTGTTTAAAAAGTCTACATGAAAATAGTTATTTATTAATAGTTACTACATACAATAATCATTATTCCATATTAAAAAATATATACCTGACTGTGTCGTTGATCTCCCCGCTAGATTTCTCTTCAGATAATTGCTAAAAACGAACAAGCAAAATCATGATGAGAATCGACAAGAGCGTAGCACTGCAGAAGCTACTATCATGTCGCACAGAAACAACGACCATAGCAGTTACATTGCAACAACGACCATAGCAGTTACATTGCAACAACGACCATAGCAGTTACATTGCAACAACGACCAAGAGTTCACACACAGCAACGCATGACGAGATGATGGATAGAAACACAGAGAAATATATAGAGACTCAGTCCAACTAGTATATTATTTCTATGGTATTAATATAGTAACAGCTACTAATAGTTGGTTGCATATCCACACCGATAATGAGTGGCATCATGTGTGGTAACAATTATGTGTGGTAACACAGCTAGACTATACTAGTCACGAAGTCCCGACATTTCAAACCCTAGCATAGGCAACCAGAAGCCCAGCTCTCAACACCTAACCAGTAATGCACAATTTGACTGAAGAGTAAGAACAATGCAGAATTAAGTGCAATACGGCTTATAGGCTCAAAGTAGGAGTAATCTCTTTAGTAAATACTCCGCGGTAAGATTTCTCCTCGGATAATTACCAAAATCGTCATGAAAAAATCGGAATGAGAGTCGCCATGTGTGGCACACCGAATGTTTCACTACTACAATATATAGAGCCTAGACACACCAGACAAGTGTGATGTTAGTAATAAATGCTGCGCGAATGAGTCTGCACTCAATCTAACGGAAATTCGTAAATAAATACGACAGAGAATGGCAAAGCATGTTAATAACATGGAATATAATAATAGCAATATATTTAACGATAATTCCATCAATCGATCGAGAGAGAAAAAAACGAGCCCAACACGAGATCGATTCAAAACAAAGAAACGAGCGGGCGGGCGCCCGATAGTCTAACAAACGAAATCGTGAGCGAATTAGCAACGTTTCCAGCGACCAGCGGCGCGACAAAACTCTCAAAATGTCTTATTAGCCAGGTGAATGAGCAGCACGGATAGCGTGAAGCCAGGCGAGCATGAAATAAGTGAAACGCATATCGCCGAAACTGTTTTGTTTATAAGAAATAATGTTTAAAGTGATTCACGGCTGAAAATCCATACGAGCGTTCGCCGCTCAGGCGGGCATTTTAGCGCGTGAAATATTAATGACTTAATGGAAGATTTGTCACTTAAACATAACATTTCGTAATGTGAACATGAAAACGTGTAGCAGCTGGCGTCCGCCCGGGCGGAAAAACGGTCGCCACGCGAAAATAACACACACCGATAGAGCCGCGCGGAAAAAATAACGCATTCACGAATAACAGCGCGCTTGAAGATAGCCCATTGGCTAAAAAAAATGCGCGCGCGCGCACGCACGCACGCATACACGAGTATCTCTTTCTCTTTCTCCTTCTATCTCTCTCTCTCTCTCTCTCTCTCTCTCTCTCTCTCTCTCTCTCTTTCGCTATGTCACGCTCGCACACGCGCGCACACAAACACACACAGTCACACATACGCGCGCGCGTGCACGCAGGCACGCACGTGCGCGCACACAGGGCAAACACTGAGGCCGCATAATGCTCCGTGGTGCAGGGTGATGCAGGGAGATATATGTGAAGCTACGTAAAGCTATATGTGAAGCTACGTAAAGCTATATGTGAAGCTACGTAAAGCTAT